GTTATGTTAAACTTATATGAAAGTTTTTCTTCGTTACCCATTCAAACCGTCTGCAGCCATTATTAACTCAAGAGTTGGCGGTGTGTTCTGTTGACCATCTGCCGTTGCTCTAGTTGATCAGTTTAAAATTAGATAAGGCTAGCACAGATAGCCTTTATGTATATGTATATCTTACAAAAGAGGTTGATAATCAAGTAATGAAGCAGCTATGTGTGAATTTTTAACACCAGGACAAAGAGCATTTCATTGAGTTTCTGATTTCTTTCAATTACTGTACTAGTATAGAGGTTTTAAGAAATTACAAAATATTTCTTCGAGTGATTAGACATATTAATCATCAGTTTTTGACACTTTTATTTTTTTCTATTGAAAAATAAAAAACTGATGGCTTTAGTTATTATGTTAAATTTTCATAAACATTCACCTTTTGATCAGAGGATAGCTTACGTTTAAATATTAAAAAAATATTCTAAAACAATATTTAACTCTTGAATTTTGTATTCAAGCACACAGACTTGAGCCAGTACCTTGAGAGACACCCAGGAGGGCTGAATGGCAACAATGTTCGGGTATGTTACAGAAGGTCTTTTACTAGTTATGAATGTACTGACGGAGGTTATTCTTGATTATGGTTTTTATGTCATGACTAACTGAAACCTGAGAATAATTCATTTGTAAGAACAGAGTACAGCCTTACCTTCTTAATTTTTCTTTTATATTTTTAAAACTTGTACTGCTATTAGGCTTAGTGTTTTAATATCACTATATTATATTTATTTATCTAAACATTATTATAAAATGAAAAACATTAAATCTCCAATGGTTCTCTTTACTTAAGTTGTAGCTGGGCAATATGTAGTCAAAAATAATGTGATTTATGTAATGTCATTTTGTAATTAACTTCTCAATAGACTAGTAGTATTTCATTTGAAAAGTGTTGCACCATCTAGTGACTCAGATTGGAAATGTTTATATTATCATGTAACTTTAATACAACAAGAACATAAAGTAATTAAGCCAAACTCTCCATTAATTATGCTATGCTCCAGTTTATATTATGTTATTAATATTACACCAAACATTAAACATAGATATAAACACATGATTTTTCATATACATGTATTAAATTTTTCAGTTTTATTAGTCTTCTTTTTGTTTTTTAACTGTTCAAACCTTACTTATCATTACTAGTGGTTATAAGAGTTTAACTGTTCCAATATTACAGATCATTACTAGTGGTTATAAGAGTTTAACTGTTCCAGTCTTATAGATCATTACTAGTGGTTATAAGAGTTTAACTGTTCAAACCTTACTTATCATTACTAGTGGTTATAAGAGTTTAACTGTTCCAGTCTTATAGATCATTACTAGTGGTTATAAGAGTTTAACTGTTCCAGTCTTATAGATCATTACTAGTGATTATAAGAGTTTAACTGTTCCAATCTTACAGGTCTTTACTAGTGGTTATAAGGGTAACTGTTCCAACCTTATACATTATTCCTAGTGATTAAGAGTTTAACTGTTCCAATATTACAGATCATTACTAGTGGTTATAAATGTTTAACTGTTCCAATATTACAGGTCATTCCTAGTGGTTATAAATGTTTAACTGTTCCAATATTACAGGTCTTTACTAGTGGTTATAAATGTTTAACAGTTCCAATATTACAGGTCATTCCTAGTGATTAAGAGTACTGTAAATACATCTCAAGCATTTAAATGATTTTTAAATTATTACTAAAATATGTCTTGTTTGTAAGTGTTACATTTTCTTGTTGTACTTTGTGATTTCAGGTTGGTTTAATCAGGTTTCTTCCTAATCAGATCTTTTATTTTGACATAAATAATATTTCATAGTTATAAGAAAACAATGAGGTTAGCCCTGGAATATTGATATTTTGTTAAAGTTATTTAACAAAATAACTTCAAAAACTGTCATTTTTGAACCAATAATAGAAGACCCAATTAACAAGGTTTTCTTTCTTTTATTTGTATAGCTTTTCTTGTTCCAGCTGTTAAGAGGTTTGGTGTACTGCCACGAAAGAAGAGTATTACACAGGTAATTATTGAAAACTAAATATTAGTTTATAATCAGTGAGGTGTTCAGACTTTTACTCAACGGTTGAAAAGATCATGTTTGATATTTTTGTTTTATCTACCACTATGTTAAGCCAGTTAATAGCTATTTACTGTAGAAGTCAAACTATTTTAAATAATACATATATTATATAACATCCTTAAGGGCTGGGTGTGACCTAGTGGTTCGCATTTTGAGCTGTGGATCTTAGGTTTACGGTTCACATCCCATTACCACACACACACACACACACACACACACACACACAACAAAGAAATCATATTTTACACTTTGGGACCTTGGATGCATTATAGGAATGACAGTCAAATCCCAC